ACTGAGAAATGAGATTTTAATTTTTTTCTACATCTTTTTGTGTCATTGTAAATTTCCCAAGTGGACAATATTCTTCACATCATCAGAAAAAGAGTATTCACTATTTTAAAAAATAATCAATATAATTAGTTGTATAGAAAGTCACGTACTAAGTTGAGAACTTTGCCTGCTAGACTTTACAGCTGCTTGTTTAACAATGGAACACAGTAATCAAATGATTGCTATAAAGTTTCGGGCTGGAATGCTATTAGACATTATTGAACACACCCACACTTTAGCACCTGCAGTTTTATGAGCTCAAGTTAGAAACCTATCATATTCATAAAAATAAAAATATTGTCTTCAAAATTTAATAAACATTATATAATTATGTAATAATGCCCTCTGCAATTCTGAAAATTACCACCTTTCATCTAAAGGGTAAGCCAAGATTTTATTTTATTTTATTTTTTTGAGGCAGAGTCTCACGCTGTCTCCGTGGGGTCAAGTGCAGTGGTGTCATCATAGCTCAGAGCAACCTCAAACTCTTAGGCTCAAATGATCCTCCTGCCTCCGCCTCTTGAGTAGCTGGGGCTACAGGCCCCACACAACGGCCCGTCCAGTTAGTTCTCCTATTTTCACTAGAGTTGGGATCTCACTCTTACTCAAGCTGTCTAAACTGCTGAGGTCAAGCAATCCACCCATCTTGGCCTCCCAGAGTGCTAGGATTACAGGGGTGAGCCACTGTGCCCAGCCAAACTAATGTCTTTTTTTGTTTGTTTGTTTTAAGACAGAGTCTCACTTTATTGCCCTCTGTCGAGTGCTGTGCTGTACTGTCAGAGCTCACAGCAATCTCAAACTCTTGGGCTTAAGCCATTCTCTTGCCTCAGCCTCCCAGTAGCTGGGACTACAGGTGCCTGCCACAACGCCTGGCTATTTTATTTGTTATTGTAATCACTGTTGTTTAGCAGGACCAGGCCAGGTTTGAACCCACCAGCCCTGGTGCATGTGGCCAGCACCCTAACGACTGAGCTACAGGCACCGACCCAAGCTAACATATTTTTGAAGAGTTATTAAAAAATATAGAGCCATTTATATGAAGAGCAAGATTACTTTTTAAAATTCCAAATGTTGGAAAGACTCAAGGAGCTTTAGAAATATTCAAATAAAATATTGAAGAGTAATAATGACTGAGACATCACTCTATCTTGTACTAAAAACCAGAATAAAACAGGGTAGCAAAAAAACAGAATTAGGCTGGGGCAGGGGGTGGCTCATGCCTGGAGAGGCCAAGGCAGGACTGCTTAAGCATAGGACATGAACCTGGACAGGAGTGAGAATTTTTCTCTACTAAAAATAGAAAAAAAGTTCCGTCTCGTAGCTTTGTAATTAGGGTGCCAGCCACATGCATGAGGCTGGCAGGTTAGAACCGGCTCCAGCCCGCTAAACAAACAAACAAATAGCCAGGCGTTGTGGCAGGTGCTTGTAGTCCCAGATACAAGGAGGCTGAGGCCAGGGAATCGCTTGAGCCCAAGAATTTGAGGTTGCTGTGAGCTGTGACACTACGGCACTCTTCTGAGGGCAACATAGTGAGACTCTGTCTCAAGAAAAGAAAAAAGAAAAAAATAGAAAAGAATTAGCCTGGGCATCATGGCACAAACCTATAATCCCAGCTACTTGGGAACCTGATGCAGGAGGATTGTTTGAGCCCATGAGTTAGAGCTTGCAGTGAGCTAGGATGACATGGTGACACTCTACCCAGGGCGACAGAGAAAGACTCACTCAAGAAACAAAAAAAACCCAAAACAACACAAAAAATTCCCACCACAATTAGCTTATTATGAAGACAGAAGAATAACGTTTATCTCTATCTTTTTTCATATTATCTTTTTTTTTCTTTTTTTTTTGAGACAGAGCCTCAAGCTGTCCCCCTGGGTAGAGTGCTATGGCATCACAGCTCACAGCAACCTCCAACTCCAGGGCTCAAGCGAGTCTCTTGCCTCAGCCTCCCAAGTAGCTGGGACCACAAGTGCCTGCCACACCCGGCTATTTTTTGGTTGCAGCCGTCATTGTTGTTTGGCGGGCCCCCAGCTGGATTCAAACCCGCCACCTTGGGTGTACATGGCTGGCACCTTAGTCACTTGAGCCACAGTTGCCGAGCCTACATATTATCTTTTTAATGTATTGTTAGCTTTGCCAATATTCTGCAGAGAATTTTTGTGCTCATGTTCATGAGGGGTATTGATTAATCTGTAGTTGTTCTTTTTTTCCCCTCCTCTTGTAATATGCTTGTCTAGTTATGCTGCCAGAGTAATGCTTACTTCACAAAAGAAATTGGAAAGTCTTTCCTCCTCTTGTTTTTCTTTTTTTTTTTTGAGACAGAGCCTCAAGCTGTCCCCCTGGGTAGAGTACCGTGGCATTACAGCTCACAGCAACCTCCAACTCCTGGGCTCAAGC